GGGCACCCCACATGGAGAAGCCTGCTGCACAGAGACTGTTTAGCCTCCAGAGGAAGCCTTTCCTCTCAAGGAGGTAAGAAATGTCACACCAGGGTGGCAGGGACCAGCCTCAGTGGCGAGACTGTGTGGCTCACTCTGTGCAGGAGTCTTTTGCTGAGAGAGAAAACAATACAGGGTTTGTTGGGGCCTGGGGCGCTGCTGGAATTTTCTTGCTCCTCCCTCACAAGGATGGGGCTCAGGAAACTGTGCAGGCCTGTGTGTGCCATTGGGTTCCACTGAAGAGGCATTGTGCTATCTGGAGAGGCGACGAGGGGGCAACACTTTAGAGGGACTGAGAGACTTTGCTGACAGTTGATGTGGCAACAGCAGACAAGCTACAGTAGATCAAAGCGGGGTGAGGCGAGAGCAGGACTCCCGGAAGAAGAGCTGGCGCAGGTGGCTGGAGCCCGGTCCCTTCCCAGTTTGCTCTCCACACCTGCTCCAGCCTCACCTGGGAAAAGTGCTGCAGCTGATTCAAATATATACTCCATCCCAAATCAAGGGCAGACACAGCTGTAATGTTTTAAACGTGATGACAGTAGCGCAAAAAGCGCCATCGTAGCCCTAAACGCAAACATATATTTTTAAAAAATTCTGGAAAAAGCTGCAGAACAAGCCTTGAAATTTTACATTACTGTATTGTCTGAGCAGGACTGGTCCTGTGTTTCCAGCTTGCAAGAGGAAATTCAGCTGAAGCCTATTGGCTAGTACTTGTGCTATAATGAACACCCTCTCCCCTTGAAGGCTGGAACAGTTTTGCAACAATCTATAAGTGTAGCCATTTTGAAATGTATTTGAAGCAAGATGGACAGCCTGCCTGAAACACAAAAAGGAGGGAGATTCAGCTTTGTAGGGAAAAGGGCAAGACTTCCTGGTGAAAAACCCATTGCAGACACTGTTATAAATATGACATTTGTCTTCCCTCTGATTGCAAGTGGATCCAGCCTCACTGTTGGGGAAGAGAAGCTATCATGGTTTGTTGTGGTGATCATGACTGTGTTGCAGTTGTGGCTGAGCACCTGCTGGTTCAAGCCAGGGTTCGCCCTTTCTCTAAATGTTCACAGAATCATAAAACTGTAGAGCTGGGGTGGGGGAACCTCAGGTCCTTGGGGCCAAATGTGCCCCTCTAAATCTCTCCATCTGGCGCTCAGGAATCTCCGCATGTCATACCCCGCCCCAGCCATGCCCATTCTTCCCAGGACCATGCCATTTACCAATCCTACTTTGCATCTTTCTTGAGTGTTTTTGCCTCTCTTGAATTCTGATCATGCCTTACGCTTGCCTGGAAGACTAAGAATAGATAGAAACTAGCCTACCGTACAAAGGTAGAATTTGCATTAATTGCTCCGCCTAGTTTTGCATTTAGCTCCACCTACCACTGGCATGTGCTCCTCCCCGCCAAGGCTTCCCAGAATGCAATGCAGCTCTTGGGTTGAAAAAGGGCTCTCTGCATCTGGTGCAGAATGCAATGTCAACAGAAATTGTGATGAACAGTCAGCAGACCTTGATGTAAGGGGCATGAGAGGAGCACACAGAGGCTATTTAAGTCTCATTTGTGCAAACAACCTGCTCTGTGTGCCATTATCAGTTGCAGAGAAGTCAAGAATGTCCTGACCTTCCTGAGTGGAGGCAGATATGCCCACGTTTTCTAGGCATCTGGGTTTACGAGACAAGGAAATGGCCGTGGCAGAACTGGGAGGACCTTCTGAGGTGCAGATGATAAAATGAGAGATGCTCACCCTGATGATGCTGGGACTGGAAAATGAAATCATGGAGCAAAATAAGCATAGGGACTTTTAAGAGGAAAGAAAAGAAAACCACCCTAACGGCGTTTCTACATGTGACATTAGGAGGGATTTCCCCCTCTCCCCGTTTTCCAGGCCTGTAATTGCAATGTAAATCTTAGACTGGCTTAAAATGTACAATCGAATTAGATGTGATGCTCTTTCCACCTTTCTGTCCTGCACTGCCAGCATTCATGTCTGAACAAGTGTAAAAGATGCCCATGTCAGGGGATCAAATGCCGCTAAAGTCAAGAAGCTGGGGAGCTTTAAGCCAGGAGAGCTACTGGCCACACTGGCTGAGGCTGCTGTGAGTTGTAGTCCAAAACATCAGGTTGGGAAAAGCAGTTTTAGAGCTTTGGCCCATTATTGCTGGGGGAAAACAATGCATGGTATGAGAGGTGTTTGTGCCTGATGGGTTCTGGGCCAATTCCTCTTATGCACAACCTTCAACTACAGGTCCCAGAAGATGTTGGGAAGGGTCTCTAGGTGGGGTCCATAATCCTATATTAGGAACGGGGAACCATGGCCTTTCAGATCTTGCTGGACTCCTATTCCTATCAGCACCAACCAACCTGGCCAATGGGCAGCGATGGTGGGACCTGCAGGCCACAGAATCCCAATCCCGCTGCTATAATGCACTGTCTGTCTTGAATTTCACATACTCCATGATGCCAACATTCGCTGCCCAGTGACACTGTGTTAATACATATAATTGATAACACAGAGTACACATGCTTAAGACTACACCATTTCACAGAAATGGGGAAATGCAAGCTCAGTCACCAGATCATGTGTCAAACTACCAGGGCTGGAATCCTAATGGACATATTACCAGCTTAAAACACAGGAAGTGTCTCCCCAGCCCCAGCCCTCAGTACACTTCACATCACATTTGCACCTCATGCAATTGGATGTCTTTCCAGGTCGCCCACTGTCTGTCTTCTGAGGGTGGGAGTTGAAATTTTTTAATGGTTTTGTTTTCAATGCTATTTTTAATAGGGTTAACCATTTAATTGCATTTCCGACATATTTATATTTTTTTAAATGTGTATTTTTGTTGTATTTGTTTTAATATATGCTGTGGGAGCCCTTGGGTCCTGCATTGGGAGAAAAGCAGGACATAAAATAAATGAAACTTATAATAAAACACAGTATTTCTCAAGAAACTACAGGACAGATGTGAGTTATGGATAATGTCACGAACCAGTGGCAGGAGTGAACTGGATGCAGAATAAACAGGAGTTGTGTACCCATGGATTTCAGGGGCAATACCTGGAATTATTATTTTTAAAAAGTCATTTCTCATGTTATATGATTCAGTAATTATTATTTTTTACTGCCTAAAGGTGTTGTTGGCTAATTAATAGTAGAAGTGCCTTTGCCAACCTCGTTCCCTCCAGTTGTTTTGGCCGGCGACCCCCATCACAGTGGTATCTGGAGTTGATGGGAGTTGCAGTCTAAAACATCTGGAGAGCAACAGGTTGTCAAAGGCACAGTACATTTTAAGTGTCCCATAGTGCCTCACCTAATATGACATCATTCATCCTCACAACAACCCTGCTGGTGGGCTATTAATATTATCTCTGTTCTGCATCTGGGAGGGCTGAGTTTGAGAGACTGTCAGTTTATGTCTGAGGTGAGATTTGAACCAGGGACTTCCTACCTCACAATTCCTCCTTTTAACCGCTCTGCACGCAGCGCAGGGAAACGGGAATCGCTGCAAGGTTCCCGCCTGATTCCAGACGAAGGGGCCTAGAGCCCCGGGTCCCTCTGCGTATGCTCAGAGGCCCGCTCGTTCTTCCTTTCCCCACATCTGCCCCTCCTTCCTTCTTCGGGCCGAGCGCCGGCATTTGGCGAACCCCAAGCCTCGCTCCGGCCTCCAGCTGCTGGGCCTGCCCGACCAAGGCGGGCGAGCGGCAAATCTGGGCACGCAGCGCCCCTTCCCTGGCGCGGCGGCGAGCTCAATGGAGCCGCTGTGCTCCGAGCGAGCGAGGGGAGGCGGCGGCGGCGGCGGCGGCGGCCCATCTGGCGTCAGACAATCCGCCTCTTTTTCTCCGCCCGCCGTCCCTGCGGACGGGGCCGCCGCCGCCGCCGCCGCCGTGCGTCCAGCCCCCTTTCGGTGCCAGGCGGAGGCAGCCTGGCCGTCCCGTTCCTGGCTCGGCAGCGCCGCCTCCTTTTCTCCCGGGCAACCAATGAAGGCGGCTTAGGGCGGCGGCAGGGACGGGAGGGGGGATCCGTCTTCCTCGCCCTCCCTCCTCCTTCCCAGGAGCTGGCTCTCTCGCTTCGCTGCTGCTCGCGCTCCGTCTCTTCTTAGCCGTCGGCCCGGCTGCGGGAGCGGGAGCGGGAAGCAGACGCCGCCAGTGCCGCAGCCAGCCAGCCGGCGGGATCATGCGTTAAGGCGCACGACCAGGGGGCACTGCGGCCGCGCCGGGAAGATGAACTACCTGGTAAGTGGGCGCCGTCGGGAGAGGCCGAGCGAGCCCTCAAGTCTGGCAGAGGGAGAGGAGAGACCCGGGGAGGGAACGAGGCTGGGCGGCGGGAGGGTGGGGGACCGACGGCTGACTTTCTCCGCCTAGGAGCAGGAGACTGAGAGAGAGCCCCCTACTCGGAAAGCCACTTGGAAGCGAGTCTTGGCCGCGTCCGTGGTCGGCTGGGGGGACGCGCTTCCGACTCGAGCGCCGGGCTTTCGGCTGGCCGGCCCCTGTGGGAAGCGAGGCTGGGCTTGCGGCGGCCCCGGGACGGACGTGCCTTCCCGCCGGGGCTGCAGCCGGGAGCGCCCTGACGTGGCCGCCGAGCCCCGGCGCAGAAGCGCCTCTCCAGGCAACAGGCGGAGCGGGAGGAGCAGGAGGGCGCGGGCTGCCCCCTTTCCCTTCCCGCTTTTGGGGAGGGGGCGAGAGAGAAAGAAAAGGCGGGAGTCCGGGGGGGGGGGTGTCGATGCTGCCCAACCCCCATGTTAGGAACCCAACCGGACACGAGAGGGCACTTGGTTTCTCTCCCCCGGTCCGGGAAAACCAAAAGCTGTTCTTGCCCCCGCTCCCAAGGTCGGGGTCGGGATCAGGAAGGAAAGAGCAACATCTTTGCTATCCCCCCTCTTCTTCCCGGGGAAGTGAGGTGGGCGGGACGTTGCGGGGCTGTGGGCTCGGGGACAGTAGCTTGCCCGAAGCCAGCCTCCCCCTGTCCGGTCCTTTCCGCCTTGGGCCTGCTGCGGCAGGTTTCCCGGTGGCCGGTGGGAACCAAGGATGACTTTGGACGGGGGTCTAGTTTGAGGCTAAAACTGAGCGCGGCTTCTCCCGGCTGAAGGGGACGCAGCGACGAAGAGCTCTGTAGCACCCGAAAGGCTGAAAATATCCCACCCCCAGCCTCTTCAGGGCTGCACCACGGACATGGCAAGGTTCCACTCTGCAGTGTATATTGACCCCCAAGTAATAACTATTCCCGGGGCCCCTTCATTTGCTTACCCCAAGTGTGCAATGAATGGAAGGTAATCACCCACTCCTGAGCACCCCAAGAGCGGCAGACGGGTTCTAGAGCCAAGCTCCATGAAATGCCTGTTGTGGCAAATGCTGTTTAGGCCTGGCCTTGGGACAGGTAGGGTATTAGTGTACGCTGGCACTCCGAAAATGTCCCTGAATCCCATTGGTCTGGATCCAAACCAGCACTTTGGGAATAGTGGATTATTATTATTATTTAAAGAGAGTTGCAGTAATAACTGAAAGTAAATCTTGCTAGTTTCAATGTGAGAGTTGGATAAACTTAGGAAGTGTGTGAAGCATGTATTTGTGGACTCTCCCTCCCCCAATGATTCTGGATGTTTCTGATATATATATATATATATATATATTCAATACATTGAGCTCTCAAGATTGTGTACATCATTCCCTCTTCCCTTTTATCCTCACAACAACCCTGTGAGGTAGATTAAGTTGAAAGATAGGGACTGCCCCAAGGTCAGATAATGAACCTCATGGCAGTGTAGGGATTTGAACTGAGATCTTTACAGTCCTAGCTAAATACTCTTAAGCACTACACCATGTTGACTCCTTTGTCTTTGGGCATTATGATTCCCCAACTCCCTAACCTATACATGTAGACATATCTGCCAATTGAGGGTAATGTTCCAAGCATCCCGTGAAAGAGACTATTGCCTGGGGAAGCCTTAATTATGCTGCAGTGCTAAACATGCTTACTAGGGAATAAGCCCCATTAAAACACATGTAGGATAGTACTGTTAGTCTTGAAAGTGTGCAATTGTGTGTGTGTGCTGAATTTTTGCTCTAATACTCAAATGTGGTGACCCCTCCTGGAATTTACCATAACAGGTCAGGTGGGGTGAAATGACTCCTGAATAACATTTCCTGATGAGTGTTTTTTTGCTGTTGCTCAGAATCTGAGGTGTGTGTGTTCCCTCTTCTCCCTACTCACATTGGTCATTTGTGGCCTTCAGTTTTATTTTGCCATCCTCTGTAGAGCCTAGTTTGACTTGCTTTCTTGGCCCATCTCGCTGTGCAGGCACTTGCACTTTTTCTTTTGTTGGAATGCCAAGAGACTGTGGACTGGTGTGGGCTGAGAAGAGGTGATGGAGAGATGCCGGCTTCCCCTAGCCTGGTGCCTTCTGGATGTTTTGGACTACAACTCCCATCAGCCCCAGCATGGTCAGCCCCAGCGTGGTCAGGGATGTTGGGATGATGGGAGTCCAGCAACCTCTGGAGGTCTACAGTTTGCCCACAGCCAGCCCCAATGGGAAAGATAGAAATCTGTGTAGAAACCTCCCACTGAACTAAATGAGATTTTGAAGTGCTTAAGTTCAGCTACTTTGTTTATATGTTCTGACATCAGAGATGCCTGCAATGTTTTGTTCATGAATAAGAAGAGAGAACTCCTGTTCAAATGAGCCGTGATAATTGGCAATGCCAGGAAACAGCTCTGTTTTGACAGATTTCACTAGAGCCAAATCCTGGCGCTGGTCTATGGCCGCTCGAATGCTACGAGCTGTAAAATTTCACAGTCCCTGATCCGTTGTAGGTTCACAGCCTGTATACTCTGGAGCAATCCCTACTGTGCTCATCTGGGTGTGTATTCTGGTACACATATGAAGCTTTCATTCGCCCTCTTCCTTGCTGGAGCTCCTGGTTATCTATATTTGGTGGGTGTCCAGACCTCCCGGCTGTTGTGCAAGATTTGCTGGAGGGGACAAATGCTGTGATTTGTGCATTTGAAAAGCTCTGTCTTATGGAGGCAGCCAGTTGGAGGTGGGAAGGGCTCCCCATGAGCTACGCATGTTTACATCTCTCTGCCTCTTGTGCCAGTTGTTGGTCCTGGCAAGGATTACACCCAAGGAGTCCCACGGCTGGCTGTTTCATCTCCAGCTCTGGGAGCCGTTGATCCCGCAAAGTAATAGAAATGGAGTGTGACTTTGTTCCAGGCAGAGCCTGATGGAGCCAGACCATGGGAATGCTTGAGGCCTGGTTAGCTGGCAGAACAGAATAAAGTTATGCCTGGTCAGAATGGAAACTTGGCGAGGCCTGAAATTAGGTGGTCAGCAGGAGGAAGCACAACTGCTGAAAATGTGTGCCTGTGTTTGATGCCCTGTGGCCAAACTGTCCCTGAAATCATTTCTGTACTTTTCTGTGTGATTCAAAGCTTTGCTTGTTCTCTCTCTCTCACTCTCTCTTATTCACACACACACACACACACACACACACACACACCAGCTGAAGGTGGTTATACGAAATCCTCTGTCCTGTTTGATTCTTGTCACTAACTGAGACTGGGACTGATGGGAGTTGTAGTCCAGAACATCTGGATGTCACCAATTTGGTAAAGGCTGCTGTATGAGCAGCAGGCTGTGTACTGTGAGCGCTGCCTCTGGTGTCAGAGGCAGTGATGCTTCTGAATATCAGTTACTGGGAATCACAAGTGGGGAGAGCTCTGTGGCACTCAGCTCCTACTTGTGGGTTTCCCATTGGGGGCATCCAATTGGCCACTGTGAGAACAGGATGATGGACCAAACAGGTCTTTGGCCTGATCCAGCAGCCAAGCTCTTCTTAGGTTGTCATGAAGACTGCCTTCTGGCTGCTTAGGAGTCCTTGTGAAATGAGTTTCAGGCTTGCCAATAACTCCCTTTTTGTTACCTGGAAGGCCTAGGAGCGCTCTGGTGGATACATCTTCCAGGTGCCGTTCTATAATCCTGAATGTGGTTGCCAGTATTCTCTGCTGAGTGCTCTGAATGGGGAGGGAATATTTGATGCCTCTGCTTCCCCCACCCCCATTTGTCCCACTTGCCCTTCCCCATCTGTTGTGCTGACCCACAAGGCTAGGAGAGTCCTTTACACCCAGATACAGAGTCTGGGTCTTTGTTCCATGTTTTCTGGCTTGGAAGTTGAATTCCTGAGTGGATGCCTGTGTCAAGAAAAGGCAGCTGGCCTTACCTTTGGTGAAGTGTAACCTGATGATGCCTGTGGGACAAGTGTGTTTGTGAGAGAAAGATGTTGATTCTGGGGTGTCTCTGCAACTCCCCCCGCATCTGTGTGTCAGTCTGAACAGCCACCTTAAAAGACTGAAGTGCCCTCCCACTTGGACTCCTTTGTAGTGACTGGAAGGGACCCTGAAATAATTTGTCATAGGGGATTCCCCTGTCTTGCTGTCTCCTGACTTTTGCACCGTTTCCATCCTTCAGTCTGCATTATTCACAACCTTATCCTTGCCTACTAGGAGTAGAGGCAGTATAACTCTGAATATTGGTTGCTGGAGAGAGTGCTGCTGCTCTTGGGTCGTGCTTTTGGCTTTCCCATAATGGGCACCTGGTTGGCCACTGTGAGAACAGGATCCAGGACTAGATGGACTTTGAGTTTGACCCAGCAGGCCTCTTCTCAACAGCCTTGGGAGGTAGGACACACGGTCGCTCCATTTTGTTACTTCAAAATGTTATTGCCTTGTCTAAAGGAGTCCCTCTGACACTCCAAAGGCTTGGGCAGGATTGTCAGCTTGGAGACAGGGTCCTTTAAGAGAGAGAAGGGGGGGGCACTTCCTGCTGTCTAATGGATGTCATAAGGGTTACCTTGATGGGATCACTCCAAGACCCTAGCGTTCTTGTCTCTGAGGCCAGCCAGCCGGCAGCAGATGCCTCTGAAAAGTTCATGGCCATCCCTTGCTGTTAAAAGCTCTAGCACATCTGATATTACAGTGGTACCTCGGATGAAGAACTTGATTCGTTCTGGAGGTCCGTTCTTAACCTGAGAAACCTCTTTAGCTAATAAGGCCTCTCATTGCTGCCGTGCCACTGGTGAACGATTTCTGTTCTCATCCTGAACCCGAGGTACTATTTCTGGGTTAGCGGAGTCTGTAACCTGAAGCATCTGTAACCCGAGGTACCACTGTACGTGTCTGGTTGGGTAGGTCACTGCTTGGAATTGGGGGGTGATGAAGCTGAGATTTGGGCTCCAAACTTCAGCAACACTTCAGTGGCTTGAGGCTCCATGTAAATGGGGAGTTGCCTGTACTTGATAGAAGGTGCTCCTGTGCAGGAGGAGTAAAGAGCATTTCCCTTGCTACAGAATCCTTGTGCTGGGAGGGGTTTGGGCTGTGGGGGCTTCCACGTCTGGAGGACCACATGTTTGCAGACTCCATGGAATTAAGTACAGAGGAGGAGCCTGGCCAGCTGTGTGTATGTGTGTGTGTCCATCTCCCTCCACCCCCCTGCCATCCTTATGGACTCCTTTGCCATTGGCTTTCTGTCTCCCCTCCCCTCTCTTGGCACCAGCAGGCTGCGCTGGGTGAGTAATTGACTGGGCAGAGCCTGCCTTCTGGCAGCTGAACTCTCTGTGTGTGTGGCAGCTGCTGAACCCTGAGTTAATGATTCACCAACAAGTTGGAGGCAGTTAACTCCACTGACCAGGCTGGGGTGGTGGTGGCTTGGGCTGGGAGGCGCTCTCTACCTTTCTGCAAGCACCACGGTCGAAGAGGGATCCGTGTCAGGAAGCACCTGTCTGGCATGGGCCAAATGTTGCCCTGTGTGCAGAAAGAACTTGCTGGTTCTCTTTCCCACCTCTGCTAGAGCGTAATTTCTAAAGAGAAAAAGTAGGGCTTGAAATATCCGCATCCTCTTAAGCAGCGAAGACTCCCACATCCTAAACAAGGAGGTGTGGGATTGCTGGCTGCAGTCAGTGGTGAAGAATGGGTGTGCACTCTGCACATGCCCTAGGGTACACTTGTTTATTGCTGCTTTGCATGCTAGGCAATGAAAACAAGCCTGGTGGGCAGCTCAAGGGAGACCAGCTTGGGAGGCTCCCCCCCCACTGCACTGGGGAATGGGTGAGGGCTAGATTTGCACCCTTTTCCCTCTCAAAGGAGACTTTCTGCATCTGGCAAACATTTTTTGGGGAGGGGAGTTGCACAGGTTCAGAGACCTGCCTAACTAACTTGA